AACTTTATGGATCACAATAATAATTTTGGGCTCATACCAGTCAATCTATCTGAATCACGTTCAACCCGTTTTTAAAACAAAAACAAAAAGAAAAAGACTAAATATTTTCATCTTCCCAAAATAGACTTAAGTCAATTGGGATTAGTGGGGTGGACCCCTAGTTAGGTTTATAATTTGGAAAAGGGGACATGATGTAACATTGAAATTTTATACTAGAACAAAAAATAGAAAAATATTATACATCCTAAATTTTTTATCAAACCTCTCATATAGGTGTGGAATCCAGACAAGCCCACATATATGTGAGTCTCACATTTATGTGAGAGATTTAATAAAAAAATTAATAGATTATTTGAAATCTCTAGTATAACTCTAAAAAAAATATTAAAAAGTGAGTGAAATTAAAAAGGAATGGTAAGAGCCTCCATTGGAGAGGTGATTTACACAATCCAAGGTTTTGAAATAGACATGTTGCTAACACTTTTCTACTTCAAATTCAAAAAATAGTGAAAAGAATTTTGAAATTTAAAAGGAAAATTTATTAAGACATCCTCTTTCCAGTTTTTGTATTCCAATTAATTCATAATATATTCTTGTATTTTAATAAATTCTATTATTTGGACAGTTATTCTACCAAATCTTAATTATAATATTTAAGGTATTTTATGAATAATTTTATCTTTACAAATATTTTTTGAACTCTTAGCAATTTGATGATGTAAACATTCATATATTAACAGTATGAATATTCACATCACAGAACATTCACACTGTCGATGTACATATTAATGTTCGCTTCACCTTATTATTATTAAGAGATATTTTGATAATTATGTCACTCATAAGATTTACTGAAACATAAAAAAAATAATTTGAATTAAGTGAAATATAAGTAGACGAAGAGGATTTATGAATAAATGCTTGAATTTAAAATAATATAATTATTATAGACCGTTAATTTTAATTTTTAATGACCTGTAATAATTTCATATCTTAAAATGGCTATCTTCATTCTTACCTAAGAAAAATTGACTTTTAAGCTTTAAAAATGTGTGAATCTAGTATAAAACTTGCACATTCGGCAAACAAAATATATCTGAATTCATTTCTTATAGGCCCAAACTGAATCAGGCCCATTAAATTGTCGAGAAGTGAAGCACCAAGTAACATGCTCGCAGATCAAATGATGTGTCGAGTAAATAGATCAAGCAAAATCGGTAAGTAACTATGCTCAGTCAAAGGGGCATGCTACTGACCAAGTTTGACAAAAATATCAATATCCTCACCAAAATAATTCATTATTTTTTTGGGGATAAATTAAATTCACCTACCTTAAATTTAAAATATAAATATATATATATATATATATATACACTTATTTTTTAGTTAAATTAATCTTTTCCATCTTAACAACCAAAGCACAGACTCACAATTCTATATTAAAAGTGTGAGTTTATTTTATTTTTTTAATTTTAAAATTTAGAGGGAGTGAGTGTAATTTGTTTATTATTATTAGTTTATTATTTTTTTTCCATCTTAACAACCAAAGCACAGACTCACAATTCTATATTAAAAGTGTGAGTTTATTTTATTTTTTTAATTTTAAAATTTAGAGGGAGTGAGTGTAATTTGTTTATTATTATTAGTTTATTATTTTTTTTCCATCTTAACAACCAAAGCACAGACTCACAATTCTATATTAAAAGTGTGAGTTTATTTTATTTTTTTAATTTTAAAATTTAGAGGGAGTGAGTGTAATTTGTTTATTATTATTAGTTTATTATTTTTTTTCCATCTTAACAACCAAAGCACAGACTCACAATTCTATATTAAAAGTGTGAGTTTATTTTATTTTTTTAATTTTAAAATTTAGAGGGAGTGAGTGTAATTTGTTTATTATTATTAGTTTATTATTTTTTTTCCATCTTAACAACCAAAGCACAGACTCACAATTCTATATTAAAAGTGTGAGTTTATTTTATTTTTTTAATTTTAAAATTTAGAGGGAGTGAGTGTAATTTGTTTATTATTATTAGTTTATTATTTTTTTTCCATCTTAACAACCAAAGCACAGACTCACAATTCTATATTAAAAGTGTGAGTTTATTTTATTTTTTTAATTTTAAAATTTAGAGGGAGTGAGTGTAATTTGTTTATTATTATTAGTTTATTATTTTTTTTCCATCTTAACAACCAAAGCACAGACTCACAATTCTATATTAAAAGTGTGAGTTTATTTTATTTTTTTAATTTTAAAATTTAGAGGGAGTGAGTGTAATTTGTTTATTATTATTAGTTTATTATTATTTTTCCATCTTAACAACCAAAGCACAGACTCACAATTCTGTCATCATGAAGGAGGTCACTTTTGACATCAAGAATGCGTTTTGTCATTGTCTCAAGGGCACTATGACGTCATGATTTCTTTTTCGCTTATATGATACGATCAACTTTCTTTTATAGCCGACATCGTCAAACGACCATATTTCCCTCCGGGTACTTGGGCGCTTCCTTGAAGCAGGAACCTATGCATAAAAACGGTGTATACATGTAATTTAAATAAATAAAAATAAAAATAAAATATTTATTATTTATTGATATGTTAAAATTATCATTTAATAACAAATAATTATGCAAGTATAACTAATTTTACTAATATATATCTATGGTAATTACAAAATTATATTTGAATGAATAGTGGAGTTATTATCACATGTGTAATTATGTTATTGGTTAGTAATATCACATGTTAATGTTGTTAAATTTTTGCTTCATTGCCTTGGAAATTTATTTTGAAGTTATTTATTCCCTCAACAATGCTATGATTACTTTATTTTCTTATCATATCTTATATATTGGGATTGTTTAGTACAATTTATGGAGTTATTTATAAATTTTTTTTAAATAGAAATTTGTGTTAAGTATTTGATGAAGCTTTTGTTTATAGTTAATAAGACAAAAATAATTTAATAAACTAATTATTTGGAGATGTTAGTAACTCCTATTGTTTTTATTCCAAATTTTAATATACTAGACACTGTATCAAATAGGCTCACAGCACCAATCTTCTATTTATAGTTAATTAGAAAGGGTTGAAAGACTATATGATACACACTTATATGTATCTTTTTTTTTTTTTTTTTTTTTTTTTAATCGGCAAAGAAAAATTTCATTAAAAATATAAAATTTAAAGGTACAAGGAGATAAAACGCATTGAGAGAGATTCGAAGGGTAAATACTCACTCTCCTACTACTGCTACTCACGTTCATATAACCAACCTCTTAGCCTCACGATTTTACATTTTAAAATACAACTAGAAAATAAAATAAAGAAAAAAACAACCAAACTCTCTTGAACCCCCAGCTAAACACAGATACACTGAAAATAGACCCACGCCTGATACACTCTCATGAGCCCCCGCCCCCACGTCTGACTCAAACACTGAGACACTCTTGAGCCCCACGCCTGACCCGAGCACCCTGCGCCATTGTCGGACACTCAACCTCCAAAATTGCCGGACACTCGGGCTCCATTACCGTCGAGGACCACCCGTCGAGAACCACCATTGTCGAACACTCAACCTCTGAAACTACTTCTTCAGCTGGACTGCTGCTGTTACTGGGACTGCTGCTGCTGGGACTTCAACCTCCACAGATACACTAAAAAACCACACACTCACACTCAACACACTTATATGTATCTTATAACTAAAAAAAATGACATAATGTTTGATATACCCCTTTTAAGGTGCAATCTTAGTATTATAAATATTTCATAATCAATCAATTTATTTTTCACTAAATCTAATCACTATTTGTGAGAAATAAAATATGTTTAGTAAGAGAGTATCTCTCTTATCATTTCTCACTTCTTCTCACTCAACTTATATACCAAACATAAAAAAATAATCACTTTGCTTGGTTTGAGTTTCCTAAAAACACTTTTTAGAAAATTATACTTTCTTGTTTTTTTTGTTTTTTTTTTTGTTTTTACTAATTTTTTTAAATAGTTTAAGCAATTTTTTTTTTTAATTTTTGGACACACCTAACATAAATACACTTAAAAGTATAATTTTTGCAAAAAAAATCTTTAAAAAATTCACTAAGTACCAAAAATATAAAAAAAAAATAAGAAAATATAGTATATTTTCATATTTTTGTGTATTTATCAATTTTTGAAATATTTTTTCACAAATATTTTACTTTTTAGACATATCTAAGTAAGATGCATCTAAAAAAGTAAAAAAATGTTTAAAATTTTAAAAATATTCACCAAAAACAAAAAATAAAAAACAAAAAAAATAAAAAAATTCAATTTTTAAAAAATTTAATTCAAAAAATTAAAACTAAACACATTGAATAATTTTTTTTTTTCTCATTTCTTACAAAATCACCCCATTTAAATAGAGTGTAATTACAACCATGTGAATCGATGACTTTCTATCTGCTAAATCACTTGGAACTTGGGAAGTAAAACCCTTAACTATAATAGAATTCTATTTGGTGAGTGTCCTGATAAAAACTTATTAATAAATTTAAAATAGTTATACATTTTTAATAAATATGTATCATAAAAATATAAAATTATTTTAAATTTTTATTAATCGATATTCTTAATATTCTTAAGACTACCATTAATAAGATCATGTATTATACACAGACATATGTAGCAAAATCAAAGTTCTCTTTTGGCAAGAAGTTAAAAGCTAACGTTTTGACTTTTAACTTCTTTTAAGTCACATGACCTTTCTATGAATATTCACATCATATAATTAACAATACAATAATAATAATTCATTTCAAATTAATATGAATATAATGACAATCAATATCCTGATACATGAAAACTACCAAACAATAATAACAATCAACATTAAATATAAACATTAATAAGGACATGAGAGATTAGAGGTATTTTGGTATTCTTACCTCAAATAAGATCTAATAAAATAATAAAAAAAAATAGATTAAATGAAATAAAACTCTTAAAAAAAAAAAAATTATTAGAAAAAGCTCCCGATCTTTTATTATTAAATTTTTTTATATAGATTTCAATACACTTTCAATCAATCATTAGATCACTCAAATATACACACATTACTGTCCAATCCAATCAACAGCTCACCCTTTTACTTCGAAACCATGCATATCAATCTTCACCAATCAGTAATACCTAGACCAAACCGGAACGCCGGAGACAATCCCATCAGAAACCTTCCCGGCGGCCGGAACCCCCATCCACGGCCGCGACTGTGAACACGAAGTGGCGGCAGAGGAGGCGGCAACTCTTCCAGAACCTTCTGGGAGCTTCACTCTCACCGAAACATTAACAATCCCGTTTCTCTCACCTCCACTGTCCCTCAACCTATAACTCAAGAAATGCAAGTAGTTCTCGGGAAAGTAACCTCCGGCGAAGTCCGAAGCCGGAATTCTCGCCGTTCCGACGACCTTGTCGCCGGAATTAGAGCGGCATTGTACATCCACATTCAAGAACCGGGCGTGAACCGGCATGTCGACGAGGAGCGTTTGGTTCCAGGTAGGGTAGCTACCGCCATCGATGTCGAGGTTCGTCGATTGAGAGATCGGAGACGAGTCGGTTCGGACCACGACGAAGGCGTTCTTCTTCACAGGCCGAGTCCGATCGACTCGCAGGTTTTCTCCTGAAATGATTGTCACTTCTAGAGATCGTGATGTTGTTGCCATAATAAAATTGAACTCTGTAAATGTATGTGGATTTGGAGGATTGAATTGATTTGATCGGAGAAGATGTTTATGGTGTGTTATATATAGGGTAGGGTTTTTGGTTTTTGAGGAAGACGGGGAGAAAGGAGTGAGAAAATGGCGAGAAAGGAGACAGAAAGTGGCACGTTGGTTCAGAAAATTTGGCATGTTTTAGAGTGACTTGTTAAAACGTGACAGCCCAATGAGATTCTTGATGTTGATACAAGCAAGGAGACTTTGATTGGACTGTGACAGAATTGGTTAGTTGGAAGCTGAGAGTTTAGAGTGATTAATTCAATTTTTGCGCTTTGGAGGAAGAAGTTACCAAACTACCGTGCGTGTTCCGGGTATTAATTTACATCGTGGAAAATATTTGGAAAATTAAAAAATGAAAATAGAAAATGAAAATTTGAAAAGTGCTAAAGGTTTTAAAATTCTAATAAATATTTTATCAAATGTCTCACATGGACGTGAATTTTACATAAGTGTGAGGTTTATACATAAGTGTGAGGTTTACATTTAGGGATTGTTTGGGATGATCTAAATGAGGGTTGGTTTGGGGTGTCCTAAAAAAGTACACTTTTTGTCTTTTTACGAAAAGATGTGCAGAAAAGTAGAGAGGTGATGTGATGGAAAAAAGATAAAAAGATAAAAAGATGGATTATATAGATTATGCCAAACGAGGCTTAAGTGTACTTTTTATTTTTTTACAAAAAGATGTACAGAAAAATAGAAAGGTGATGTGATGAAAAAAAGATAAAAAGATGGATTATTTTTGGATTGCCAAACTTGGTCTTAAACATTTAATAAAATATTTGGTAGAAATTTTAAATTACTCAATAATATTAACAATACTAGAGATACTTACATATTTACTAACACACTCACAAGTTTTGATAAGATCAACCATCACTTGGTATATGACCCACATCAACTTGTAAGTGTGTTAGTAAAATTATTAGTATCCCTAACATTTTTCATAATATTTTATCAAATTTTCATAGACACATAAAGCAATGAGTGGATTTACTAACAAAAAATTAAATTAAATTAAGAAGTAAAAAATAGTCCAGCTATGAAACTTTACTTGAAATTCTGAACTGTTCAAATTTCATTTGTTTGAAATATGTTTAAATTCATTTAAATTTACAATCAAGTTATTATGTGAGATAAAATTTGATCACACAATTAAATCTTAAAAAAAAAAAAAAAAAAAAAAAACGTTTTTTTTCTTAGTTACTCCGTAGTAGTAGTCTTCTTACTTGTAAAACTCTAGTTGCTCGAGAAGTATACTTCATCCGAAGATTCTTCTTTTTAGTTGAGTTGAGATAAACCTCTATAAAGAATTCTAAAATTATATAACTTAGATAAATTATTTGGAATGATCTAAAATATATTTTTTGATTTTAAAAAAAAAAATAGAAAAAAATAAAGAGATGGTGCGAAAGAAAAAAGAAAAAAAAGATGGCTATTGTTGGGAATGCCAATCAACCCCTCTCCAAATAGTTACACTTCAGTCGGGCCTGACCTATTCCAATATATCAGCTAATACTTTATTGACACCTAAGCATCTCAATTTGAGATCTTACCTTACTCAAAATTACGTTCCACACTTTTAAATAACAATAATATTTGGGACCCCAAAATTTGTAATTCTCACAACTCCCAATTAATTTATGACCATTCATTATTATTTTTTTCCTCTCTGTTTCCTCTTTTTCTCTCACAAAATGTGTGAGGGTGTGAGAGTCATGGGGTCTCTATCACCACCATATAAATAAATCGGTGGTGCTACATACACTAATTAATGTACCAACTAGTGTTATAATATTATTATTGACCTAACTTATTATACAAATTACAAATAATTAAAACCTCTAAAATTATACCATATCATCCATTAATATACTAATTGATGCATATAACATTATTCTAAATAAATCACATCTTGTGAATACATTTAAAGCAATGAGTAAATTTCCTAACTTAAAAAATAATAATAAATAAAAATTAATGGAGCTATCAAACTCACTCACCACCTCCATCACTACCTCATCTCCCATTCATTGCAAAAGAAGTTTAATAGAGCAAACAAGATGATCAAGTTAATTTATTAATTCGTACTAAATTCAACTTTATTTACTTAAATCTGTTTATTAGATGGACGAGTTTGTATTGAGTTAAATTGTTTTAATACAAAAGGTGGAACTGACCATTGGTAATGGGACCTGCAACCAATTAGTCCCATGGTATGTTTCATTTAGGAAGTTGTAAGAAAGAAAAAGAAAAAGAAAAAGAAAAAGTGCTACGTGCTTATCGAGGCAGGGCGATCCAGGTCCCCGTCTGGCTGGGTTCAAATTGCCATTCCTATCGCTTCCTTATTCGTCGCCTCCTCTGACGCCTCATTTGATGCCACTGTGACGGTCGCATCATCTACTTTGACGCGACCAACGAGCTCCACTGCGACTCCATTGTCGATCTCCACAACTCTACCCACCTCTACCTCCTATTTCTCTCTATCTTTCTCTATCTGCCATAACACTGCAACAAATCACCACCATATGTGGCGTAATCGAGTCGTTATCTCACCGGACTCCATAGTCCTCCACAAGTTGAATCGAGAACGAGGGAGATTTCTGTCATCACCATGGTAGAGCTACGGATCTAGATCTATTCATCAACATCATTGATATATATAGATAGTGATATACATGTTTGTTTGATGTCTCTCTATCTAGATTTGAGTTTTGTAGTAGTTGTTATTGTTATTGTTGATATTGATTGTAACAACCCTGACCTGTGATTAGCTATTAAATCATGCCTAATAAGTAATTAAGATGAAATTCTACATTAATTACATGTGTTATATGTTATTTGCATGTATTTCTGTCTGTCGTAGAAATATGGGGTACTTACGTGTAGGTCCTAATAAGTGGACTTATTGTCTAATAGGTCCTATGAAAAAAATTTGTCATAAAAAAAGGTCACTAATTGTAAGTTTTAGCGACAATTTATAAAAATCATGACAAAAAAAAATCACTAATTGTCAATTTTTAGCGACGTATGTAAAAAATTGTCACAAAAAATTATTTTTAACAACAATTTTATTAAGATTTATTTTTAATAAGACTTGATGGGAATTAAGTCTAACTATTAGGACCTATTGGTAGTTTACCCTAGAAATATCTGTTTGTGTTTCTGTTTTGTTCTGCTAATTGAAGTCCTTATCGATATTGACTTGGGTTATGTGTTATTTTGAATTTTTGGAAATTTCTGGTAGGTTCAATTAAAATTCGATTCGGAACGAAATAATTAGAATAAAATAATGTTACTAAATTAGTCTTAACCCAATTTTGATTAAGCTTCCTTAATGAGCCTATAAAAGGCCAATATCACTCTAGAACTCCACCTTACATACACTATATCTTCAATTTTGAGGCTAAAAATGTGGAAAGAGGGGGAGAAGAAGAGAACTTGGGTTCAACATTGTGCAAGAAGGAGATTAATGAGAATTGGCTTGGAACCTAGCTAGAGAGTTGAGTTTTGGGAAGAGTAACTTTGGATCATGAATAATTCAAGATCTTAGGTGAGTATTTGACTCCTAATCTTTGTGTTCAAGTTCTTAAGAAAAAGAATTCAAGAGATTTAAGTGTTAAAACATGAGAACTAAGCGAAAAATGTAGAATTAGAAATCACCTCATACATGCATGTGGATTTCATGGTATTTTGAAGTTGATTTTAAACAATTCTTCCATGCATGTTGTAAACGCGCTCCGAGGGCTTCATGCTACTACAGTTCGGACTCAAATGTCACGGTTCTAAATCTAATCCCGCAAAGTGCAATGCGAGACCGATAAATCACCAAAGAGTCCAAATCCGGCAAATCATTTTAGAAAACTGATTTTTAAGAAAGAAGTGCCAAACATGGACTGCTTTGCCAGATACAGAGTCGCCACCTAAATATTTTATTTTGGGAAATTTAGGAAACCCTGACTTGTTGCCTAAGGCCACGTGTCCGTCATTACCAAAGTTGCCTCGGCTCGGGAACTTGGGTACGATTAGGGAAGGTTATCTATGAGCACCCCCACTTGCCCGATCAAAGATCGGCCACTACTAAACATGATATCTTGTTTTTGAAAACACATGTGTTCTTATTCCGATTAATTAGCTAGAATTACTATGTGATGCACACAACACACAAGTATAGACTAGATTGCCTAATTTGGAACAAAGCATCGCATAATGGTTTGAATGTGCTACTCGCAAGTAGGCTAAGACGTGGATTTTGCCACCCTCGGGTGGGCTTAAGATAACGGGATTTTGCCACTCTCAAGTGGGCTTAAAACTCATATTTCGATGAATTGTTTCAATTCAAGTAATCTAACCTTCACCCACAGGCATTCAGGCAGTTATATCACATAAGCAGTTAGCCTCATGGCAAACATGCTATCATGGTAACACTCATACTCATGCAAGATGCTAAAGCATAAGCACTTACCTAGTACTCCGAGCCAAAACAAGAAACTAGTTAGAAATCATGCATGATCTTAGTTCATGTTAAGATGGCTAATGCAACACATGCAAAATGCAACTAGAATAGGCTCGGCTAATCTAAGAATGGCATATGAAATGCGACAACTCGATACACGTATTCAAGTTGGAATTGAAATACTATGCAATTAGTATGATGCGTCGAGTTCGGTGCGTGCAATACGAATGAATGTATGCAAACATGCTAACATAAGTATGCTGATTGAAACATGACCTAAAACTAACCATCAAAAGCAAGTAAGTAAAAGGGAGAAAGACATGAGGTTGGAAGACATTCACACACGTACGCACACTTATTACAAATTCACCCTCTCGACGGAGGGTCCGAATAAATAATACAAACCAAATGATTAATCAACTATCCTAACTAATTAATTATTACAAACCTTTAATTAATTAACAAATTAATTACAAAAGGAGGCCACCGCAGCTCCACCTCGGAATGATTGAATGATGCATGCTCGATCGCCTCGCTCGGAAACCCGTTGCCATGCCACATGTTG